CAGTGTTGCACATCTAGGGGTAATATTGTTACACTATTTTTGGAGATTCCCAACATATAGCTACAATGTACAGTTTTCATCTGTTGTTTTTACCGGTTGTGGTTGCCAGGCGATGAAAATGCCTGGATGTTGGCTCCCTTGTATAGTGTTTATCAAAAAGTAGAACTGACATAATCATAGGGTGCATGAAAACATGAACTGAGGACAACGTGTACAGCAGACAATAAAGCCATTTTCAACCATAAATGCATTACTTTTGTTGTGATTTTTGCTGATTTGTTGTGAATCTCAGTAAAAAAAGTATTGCATGAATTAAATTGTTTTAATGCCACAACCATTGTAATTACATTCATCGATATTTTAGTTGTTTACTTACTTGTTTGTCTAAATTGTATAAACATGTATGACATGATACTCAATGATATCATACCCTTTTGCATTCATGCTTGTTTTATCGTGCAGCGTCATCGATTTCTGAGAAAACATTTACGAGGCAATTTACGAGGCAGAGTTCATTGGGTGACCTCTATGAATATATTATTTAAATTTTTAGCATAGTAGTAAAAAATGTCTAACGTTTTACTCATGTCACATGAGGGCATTTCAAATACATATCTATATCATAGACATCCAAAACATTTCAGCTACCCTGATAAGAACGATACAATAACAGTGCACCATATGTTTTAGAGAAGTCGTGAAAAAAGTATTCAGAAATGAAGAAATATAAAATGATTTTGTACAAATGTTCAAAGGTGGCACAATTCTGTTCAATATGTTGTCATTTTTTACAGTGCATCTGTGAGACGTACCAGTATGCGAGAAAAGAAAGAAATATCCAGGAGAGATGCGAAAGCTGAGGCTGAGCTGATGCTTATACCACGGGTGAGTTAACGATAGTTATAATTAACTGCATTCAGTGAGAAATTACGAGTAATATCCCATGAACAAATTATTAGATGTGTTAATCTCTTTGCTCCTCCTGTACTCCATTCACAATCAGTGTCATGGTACAACAAAGTGTCGTAAACAAATTAACCAGTTTTAAGTAACTAAAAGGGAATACTGCTTTTCCCAATTGTTGTTGACATACATGTAGTCCCAATGACGCTACAGCTTGAATCCGAATTCATGTTCTGCTGATCTACTTTCACTTGATTAACAAATGTGTTCAGTACTGCCAAATTAACCCAACCCTGCCTGTCTCAGCAAAATTAACCCCATCGAACTACCTGCCGGTCTTAGCCAAATTAACCCCATAGAGCTACCCGCCGGTCTTAGCCAAATTAACCCCATT